TAGAAAATTTTCAAAAAGTATATGGTTCATATAGGAAGATACTGACAAATGAGATTAGAGATGTAGTTGCCTACAGAAGTATTTATTGAGTACCTACCAAGTACCATTGTGTACTCTGCTCAGCGGTAAGGGTATAGCCATGGACAAAGCTAATGCTCCTCCTGCTCTCAGGGAACTTTTGTTCATTTTTCATGTCTCACTTTATCCTATGAGGAAGAATCTGAGAAGTTTTAAAGTAGAACCAGTGCTCAGGCATTTTCATTTAGGAAGACCACTCTCACATAACAGTGTGTATAACAGGCTAGGGGTGTGATGTTTAAGGCATGGAGATGGGAAGGAAACTAGTAACTGTCTGCATGAGAGATGAGAGGCTGAATGAAGGTATTCTCATGGGCATGGAGAGAATAATTTCAAGAGTTCCTCAAACTTATTTTGAAATTCAGAGCTGTCACTGTTCCACCACTCCCATCCTCTTCAGATGCGCAGAGTGTAACTTACTGTAGGATAGTATGCCATTCCTGTGCCTTTTCCTAAACACCTTTGCCTTTCCATGCTTTTGCTCAGAGCTCTCCTTTCCAGTTGAAGATGAAGCCCAAGACCATCCCCAGCCCAAGTTCTTAGTAATGTCTGAATGCTTTTACTCTCTGGCATTACAGTTTTGTTAGATAACCCATCAGAATGTTCGAGAATGGAGGTTATTATTTTATGTCACTGTACTACCTCCCTGTGATGAACTGTAAGCTACTTAAGAGCAGTGATGCTTTCTTCCTTGTACCCTTACAATCTAGAAAGGGCCTTGGACCAAGTGGTCAGTGCATATTCCTGATGACAATAGTCCCTGGATTTGTGGAACACATTAGCAATCTGTGTGCCTTATAACTTCCCATCCCTTCTTAGTTTCTGCTCGGCGGAATCTGAGGAATGTTACTCTCCACTAACTATGCTTTTTTAACTCACTTTACTCCTAAACCTTTAGCATCTTCTCATTTCCCATTGAGTCTTCTTAGATTTTAAGGCTTGTCAGTCCTTTCCCCAGTAGGAACCACTGTCCTCACCAGACAGACCCACAAACAAGCCTTCTTAGGGTCTGGGTGTTAATCTTCACTCATGTCGATCTTCTGCCTCGAGGACATCTTTACTCTTACCTTCCTGCAGCCCAGAACCAAGAACATCTCGAAACCCAAGAAACCTGCTTAGCCCTTGGTGATTCCAGCCTCCAAAGGTCTCCCTGGGGCTAAACTGTCACAGCATTCACAGTGTGTCATTTAGCAGAACCTTTGTTAATTATGTGTATTCATCCTTGCAGATAAATTGTGAGCATCTTGAGGGTCACTATATCAAAGGGCACCTGGTAACTTTCCAGACGCATAGGGCTTATGAATGCATATTAGAGGACTGATGAAAGACACATCTACTTCTATGACTCCCATCCTATTGGACAATTGCTTTGCAGCACTCTCCCCCAATTTTAGGGTTTAGGGGATGCTGTGAAAACCTATCTAGTGACTCCTGGGTAGCCTTGCTGCTGATTCTGAGTCACCATTCATTTGTGGTGACTCTAAGCCTTACTTTGTGATTCATATTCTAAAAATGGGGTGGGTTTTCAACTGAGGAACTAATTCCAGTCTGAATTTAGCCTCACAATTATTGGATTCCTTTGTAGGTTTCAGGCTTCTCAAGGTCTGGTATCTTATGGCTTATTGGATGTGGCTTTTTTATGACAAATACTTAAAATCCATTTTACAAGAGTATGATGGGAGAGGTTCCCTATAATGAATATTCTACCAGCTTTTCTTGGAACTACTCGTTTGCAATCAGCTTGTGTCTGATCTGGGATGGATAAGCTAAGGAGAGTAGATCAGTCTTTGGTGTTTCTCTTTCTCCTTCTCCCTGTCTGTCTCCCTCTTCCCTCTTTTCTTTTCCTTCAATCCTTCCTCCAGCATTGGGGTTTAAACCCAGAGCCTTTGCAGTGAGCTACATCCTCAGCCCTTATTTATTTATTTATTTATTTTAAATTTTGAGACAGTGTCTCACTAAGTCACTAAATTGCCTAGGCTAGGCTCAAATCTGCAATCCTCCTACCTCAATCTCCAGGAGTGCTGGGATTATAGGTGTGCACCACCACACCCAGCTTCTTTCTGACTGGTCTTGGTTCCTTGTTGAGAATATGCCTATATCTATAAGAGAGGGTATTTCTGCACTTGATCTTAGCCAAAAGGCCAAGAAGACATGAGAGGTTATTTCTGAATTGACCATCTAGGTCCTGTAACTGAGCACTACCTAGCGTCTAGGAGACCTGCTTCAACAATGACTGAAAAGCAGAATGTATAAACAACATAAATGGGATGATTTCATGAAATCTGAGTTCTAGCCCTAAGACTTCCACAAACAAGCTCTGCAACCTTAGGTGAGACATTCAGCAAAGCAGCAGTATGGCAATAACTAACATTTACAAGGAATTTGGTATGAGATCTGGTGTGGCATGAGCTTCCATGAGCTCATCTGCCATTATTATTATCGTTGTCATTGTCAAAGAGGATTTATTATGCTCAGCCCTGAGCACTTGGGATACATTATCTCATTTAATCCTTAGAATTATAAGGTGAGTTTTATTATTCTTGTTGTACAGGGGTGAACTGAGGCTTACAGAGGCTGAATTATGAGTCCAAGGATGTACAAGATTCCAGCTGGACAGTCTTAACTTCTGAGCCCATGTTCTCAGGCTTGGTTGCTGTACTTGATTTCATTGGGCCGCAGGTTTATCATCAGTAAAGCTTAGGAGCTACACTATTTGTCTATACAACGCTCTGATCCTAAAATTCCTATGTATTTTCTCATCCCCTTTGTACTTCCCTTCTTTCTCCCCTCTCCTCCCCAGCCCTCTTACTATGGATTTCGCTGGCTTCCTCACAGGACCAGTAGGATGTTTTCCCCATTGGGTTCTGACAGTGCATGTGTCAGCACATGGGCTTTGCTGTGGCTTTCCTTTTGAGAGGGCAGGGCCGGGAATGTGGGTTTATGCGCTTCTGCTGCTGCTGTTGAGGAAAGGGACATCTGACTCTTCAATTTTGTTGTGTTATCTTGGCCTACAGCCATAACCACACTGAGTGACACAGTGGCAGGGCTCAAGAAAGGCTCTGTAGGCAGAAGTGCACACGAATAAGCTCTCAGAGTGTGTAGGCCCCGAGTTGCTCTATGGTGAGATCTGGGTTAGGAACCTGAACTCTTCAGGCTGTTTGAACATGTCCTGTCCTGTGGTTGCTAAGGCTCTCAGGGGAGGGCCTTGGAGGAGAGCTTTCTGCACTTTTCATCCTCTGTATAAATAGGGTGTCTGCCAGATTTCCACATGGGGAGTTTCCCGGGGCATTTCGTTGTAGTTTTAGTATGATAGATGTTTATAAGGCATCTGTCTATCCCTCCATCCATCCATCCATCTATCCTGTAGTACTTTTTTGTATCTGTGACCCAAAAGTTACAATATTTTGGTATTGGCAGAGCTGCCTTCAGGGGTTGGTTCTATCACTTCCTAGCTTGGGTAATTTAGCACACCTACTTGTAGTGGCTTCCATTTGATCAATCTTTATTTGGGATTTTATTATGAAAAAGAAGGATCAGTGTTTTACTGCCCTGAGATTTGTGCATCCTTCCACTTAGAAGCCTGGAGGGAGCATTTTAGCAATCTGAAGACACCAAATAACCTTATGGCACCACTCAGTTTCTCTCTGCCCAGATTTTTTCACCTAGTAAAGAATAATAGTACCACTTATACATCTCAGCTAAAATGGATTTTGAATCAAATGAAGAATGGTATGAAAATATTTCATAAAATTATGTATTTTCTATAAATATTGGTTGTTTTTAGGAACTATAAAACAAAAGTAATTGCTTTAATCACCAAGAAGGGCAAAAGTTATTACATGTTTATATGCTGACTTTTACAGTATATATTATGTATTGAAGATAATATCCTATAGTAAAATGTCCTATTTTTCTTGTTATTGTGTGCCAGGTGAAAGCTAAGAGTTAAGTTATTCTAGAAACTATCTGAATATTGTGTGTATTCAGCTAATAACCACTGGTATTGCTCAAGGCAGTTAGTAGCTCTTTTATGGAAGCACATTAATTTTGCATTAATTCTGATTTTATTAATTCATCATAAGATCAAGAGCTGTGTTCAAGTTGTAAAAAAGAGATTAATAGCATGAACAAAATTATAAGCTAAATAACAATTCTTCTGTATACATAGAACATGATTACAATATAAGTAAAGGCTTGACATACATATACTAATTCTAATTGACCTAGATTGAAACGTGTTTCTTTTTTTTCTTTTTTTTTTGGTACTGGAAATCGAACTCGGGACCTTTCATTTGCGAGGCAGGAGGCGGAACCACTGAGCTAAATGCCCAGCCCATGAAATGTGTTTCTTTAATTCACATAATTCATGAAAGCAAATATTCTCCATCCTCTTGCTTTAAATGAACGAGATGACTCCATTTCTATTTCTCTTGATTGGTAAACCATGCTTGGAGAGACCATCTGGAGATTGTTGGGTTTCTGCCAAAGATTCAAATCAGGTTTGCAAAAAGTTACCTGCCTAAGGCAAGAAACTGCACTGATTTAATAGAAAAGACCACACTTCTATTTCACCATCTGGTAAAAGAAAAAGAAAACACTTTGAAAATTTTAATATTTGCTTCACAATGATAGTACTATATTACAGATAACAGTATTTCAAAATACAATTATTGAGGAAGTTAGGGAATGTAATTGCTGGAATTTGGGTGATTAATTACAAGTCTGATATGAAGGCATATTATCCAGACATCTTGGTGCTGGTGACAAATGTTTTAGTATAAAAAGTAGAGACAAGACAGAAGCAGAGAGAAATATGACAAGTTGAAAACCACCTCAGACTTCCTGTGGGCAGAACTGCAAGCCTTAGACCTGTGTGTATTTGGTATAATGTGATGGTAATCCTTTTTAATTTTTTTAAACAGATTTTAACTTTGCAGGATAATCAAATGCAAGAAGAACTAATGGTCTACATTCTGAGTACTGCCCTTGGCAAGACCCGCTTAAGATACTGTACACTCCCTTTACCCCAGACATCCTTCTGGGGTCCATCTGAGGTCAGCAGTGTGAAGATGACCGGTGCCTTCTTAGCATGACGACCTTGGACCATGTGATCGCTACCCATCAGTCAGAGTGGGTCTCCTTCAATGAAGAGCCACTCTTTCCTATCCCTTCTGAGGGTAAGGAGTGCTTTCATTGCCTAAAGTGACAGGATTAGCGAAGAACCCACCCTGTTTGCTATGAATTCTACTTGATCATTCTTTGAATAGAATCTTAATAAAGAAAAAAAGATCCAGTTTGGTCACTTTCCTGACATTTATGAATACTTCCATTTAGAAACCAAGAGGAAGCATCTTAGTAACTGTAGGGTCCTAAAAAGGGGCCTGGAAACACAAAGTATTGGTTCTTTCCTTCCAAGGAATATAACTATTTATGAAATCCCTTACTGGCAACATCTCTTACAGTTAGTCTACCAGCAATTTGGGTTTTCTCTATTTTTAAAGTGTATTGTTATAGTGGCAGGTTCTAGAGCCATATTGCTTGAGCTCATATCCTGACTTCATCACAGAAGAATTGTGTACCCTTGGAAAAATCACTTATTTAATCTCTGCACATAGTTCTATTATCTGCACAGTTACCACAGTACCTCCCTCAGGAGTCTTTGTGAAGACTAAATGAATTAACATTATATAAAGTACTTAGAACAGTGCCTGGCCCATGGAAGGAAATCAATCCTGTCAACCTGGGTCACAGTGAAGGTGGTTACATTGCTCCTTAGGGAACTAGGGTTCAGGAATGGAGGTAAGGAGGGGATCCAGGACATATGTGCAGAGCTGTGTCATTTTGTTCTGTTCTACCTCAGCTGCCAGTACCACCTGAAGTCATCCTACCTTCATTTTCAGTACTTGGAAAGTGTAAATCTGTGGGTGTGCCATCCAGGGTGGTGTCTGTGTGACCAGTGATCCCTTGAAATATAGCAAATCTGAATGAAGAAGTGCTAAAAGTATAACATACTTATTCTGAATTTCAAAGACCTACCTAGTTAAAAGAAAAAGGTTAATTATCTTAACAATTTTTATTGCATTTTGAAATTATATGTTATACATATTGGGTTGAAATGCATATTACTAGACATCCTGGGTTGAACATATTGGGTTAAAATGCATATTATTAGAAATAGTTTCTGAGCCTAGAGATACAGCTTAGTGGTAGAGTACATATGCTAGGTCCTGGGTCCTATCCTCCCACCCCTCAAAAAAGTACCAGATGCAGAAATGCATACCTGTAATCCTAGCTATTCTAGAGACTGAGACAGAAGAATCATAATTTTGATATCAGCTTGGACTACATACCAAGATCCCGTCTCAAAATTTTTAAAAAAAGGATGGGGATGTAGCTCAGTGGTAAAGCACTTGCCAACGTGCACAAGGTCCTGGGCCCAGTCTCATAACACCCCTCAAAAATCTCCTGATTCTTTTTACTTTTTCAAATGTGGGTGCTAGAAAATTAAAAATTATACATGTGGCTAACTTTTTATTTCTATTTGACAGTGCTAGTCTAAAGGCTTTGATTACATGCAGGTCACTAGTTTCTTTGGCTAGTGGTAAGAAAAAGGACTTTCATAGTCTTTGCTTTTTAAAAATTCTCATATAGCAAAATTGACTTTGTAGTACACATGTCATAATTTTAGCACATGTATAGATTTATATATCTACCTCTGTATCCTGTATATAGTTATTTTACTTTCAAAAATTTTTTTTTCAAGGGTATGAAATATCTCAGGAAGAGCCTTTATGTCACGCCAAGCTGGTCATTAGTGGAGAATTTGCATCTGGTGCATACAGACTCTAGTGCAGATTGGATGGCAGGGTTTTAAATTTGAATTCAGTGTGCTTAGTCCAGAGAGAAGCTCAGCTGTTCAGCCACAGTCTCCACAGCCCCTATTGCCTTTATTTGTCCCACTCAGCTCAGGTTTATCTTGTATTAGAGCTCTGTGGGCATTTGCATTTGTGATGCCCAAGCACTGGAGTAGATGCTGAGACAGAGTGACCAAGCTGGGTGTAGTGGCACACAAGTGTAATCCCAGTACTCTGGGAGGCTGAGGCAGAAGGATTGCAAGTTTGATCTAACCTAGGCAATTTAGCAACTTAATGAGACTCTGTTTCAAAATAAAAAATGTAGCTCAGTATAAAAATAACACATTCGGGCCAGGGATTTAGCTCAGTGGTTCCGCCACCTGCTCTGCAGGTGCAAGGACCTGAGTTCGATCCCCGGTACCAAAAAAAGTAACACATCCAATCCCCAGTACCACCCAAAAGTTTTTTTTAGAGTGACCAAGACTTCTCTTCTCAGTCTGTGTGCTGCCAAAGCGAGCACAAGACTTGTCAGCCTGCCCAGATACTGACTGGGGACATGTCGAGGGAAAGTCCTTGAGCATAGTGAAAGGTCAGCATGGCTGTTTCCCCTCCCCTTCCTTCTGATCCCCTCCAGTCCCTAAGTCACCCCTTGCTTTTGCCTCTCAGAGACAGTGTGATGAATGTCCTTCCTCATGTGATAGTGGGATCTGCTGTTTGTTTCAGGTGGGGCTGAGGAATATCCCCTGGGACTATCATCTTCCTCAGACCAGTCCGAGAGCTCCTCTGCAGAGAACCAGGTGGTGGATGGAGGCTCTCGGGACCTTTCCCACTCCGAGCACGATGACTCCTCTGAAAAGATGGGCCTCATCTCTGAAGCAACTTCTCCTCCTGGGAGCCCTGAGCGGCCCCCACCCGACCTGGCTTCTGCCATCAGCAACTGGGTTCAATTTGAAGACGACACACCCTGGGCCAGCACCTCACCACCGCATCAGGAAACAGGTGGGACAGACAGAGGCTGGCCGAGTGCCCGGTCTAAGGCGGGCCAAGTTCTGTTTTACCTGCTCCAGAGCTTGGAAGCACCTGCCACATAGGAAAGAGTAGACAGAGGTATCATCTGCTTTTTAATAATTCTGAAACTGGTTTTTGTTGACATAAGCATACAAAAGACTTTACATGTTCTGGTTATTTTCAACCTCTACCCTTGGCTTGGCTGTTGACTTGTCTTTGGAAGGTTACCTACATTTTTACCTATTACAGATTGGAACTATATTTACCTAGAATCTAAATTGCAAGCTCCTTACACATAGAGACAAATGTTTCTCAAAGTGCGGCTCATTGGACATCTCTAATAGAGTTCCTGGTGAGACTAGTTAAACACGGGCATTCTCATGCCCCAAACCTCGAGGGTCCAAGTCTTCAGGGATAGAGATGGTTATAAATGATAAATGATGTTATGGCTCTGAAATGGCCAGGAGCTGCACTAGGAAGCTTAGAGAAGCCAGGGAATCACTAGTGCCCACCCCAGTGACCTGGCTACTTACTGTGTTGAGCACTGAAGCATGCCAGGGGTGATTGGGTAACCTTTGGGACTGTATTAGTTTTCTACTTGCTGCTGTAATGAATAGCAGAAACTTAGTGGCTAAGAGATGATACAATTTTATCATCTTACAATTCTCTGGTTCAGTAGTCCACATGGGTGTGATTGGGCTAAAGTCAAGGTGTTACAGGGCTGAATTTCTTTCTGGAGGCAATGGGGAATCTGTTCTGTGGCCCCTCACAGCTTACACTGGCTGCCTATGTTCTTTAAGATGACCTTTTTTCTGTCATCAAAGCCAGGAGCATAGCATATTCTGAAGTGACATCATTCTCTAACTTCTGCCCCCTCTTCCATTTTTTTTTTCTTTTTTTGGTGCCAGGGATCAAACTCGGGTCCTTGAGCTTGCAAGGCGGATGGCGGAACCACTGAGCTAAATCCCCGGCCCCTCCTCTTTCATTTTTAAGGACCCTTGTAATTACATGGAGGGAAAAGTTACTGAATACTGCTGCTATGGCTTGAATATTTTGGCTCTCCGAAGTTCATGTTGAAATGTAATCTTAAATGTGTTGGTAGTAAGAAGTAGGTTTTTGGGAGGTCACCAGGGCTTAAGAGTAGAGCCTTTGTGAATAGGATTAATGCCCTTATAAGAGACTTGAGGGAAATTTTCCTCCATTTGATAACACAGTGTCTGTCCTTTTTGCCATGTGAGGGCACAGCTAGAAGGTGCTACCCATAAGGAATAGACCTGACCAGATAACCTATTGGTGCCTGGCTCTTGGACTTAACAGCCTCCAGAACTGTAAGCAAGGAATTCCTATTGTTTATAAATTACCATGTCTAAAATACAATGGACCCTCAAGTTCTGACTGGCCAGACATATAAACAACTTAGTTAATTAGGTTAATGGAAGACTCATCTGCCTCTTGTGATCTATAGCGTGTTCCCAGGTAAACATCCAGATCTCAGCTGTATTGACTTACAACCAACCTGAGTTACAACCAGCCCTTGGGATCAAGTTTAGAAGTCAAGGGACCACTGTATTTTATTATAGCAGCAGGGACAGACTAAGAAAACAGCAGTGAATTTCTAAAGAAGTATGTTTTTTATTTTTAATAGGATAGATTTATTGATCAGTAACTCTCTCCACACTATTATCTCATGTACTTTTTATAATAGTCATTTGAAGAAGGTATTCATATTCTATTTATTTTTCTATGAGAAGACTGAGATAGGTATTGGTTTAGGAATTTGCCCGAGGCTACCCTATGCTAGAAAGTGCCAAGAGAGAGCTTCTAGCCCTGGCTCCTGGGGCTTGGATGGCTGGAGCATGCTGACCTTTGCGTTACTGTTGCGCTGCAGTTGCTGCCCCATGCCCTCTGCTCCCTCCTGACATCGGAGGTGAGAGAGGCAAGGGCTGGGAGGTAAGGGGTGGATGGAATGACCTTTCTCCTCCATTTGCCCTAGAATGGCCGTGCTTTCAGCTCATTGTTATATTCATGGCCTTCAGATTCTTCCACACCCGGTTTACATCTTACTGTTAGCCTGAAAGACTTCTTGAGTGTTTAAAATTATAAGACAGATGGTTCAGTTTCCTTCAACTCTTCACCATTTATATTTACAAAACTAACTTTGGGGTTAGGTAAGTTCTAATCATGTTTCTTCCATCTAGCTGAGATCGTCTTGTTGTTGACCATATTTTGATATATTGTTGAAACTATTCTTTAAGGCAACTATTCTTTATCTAACCTTGGTCTATATACTCCTGTGTTTCCCCAAGGAGTCTGCGGGGTAAAAGTTATTTTCCTAAGAATTCTAAGATGGTCTTTGCTTTTTTCATTGCATTGGCATTTGTATCAATGGTGCAGAAGTAATGACAAGTTAAATTTCGGTCCATTATGTACTCATAGTTAAAAAAAAACTTCAGTTTCACTTAGCAATAGCTTTGATGAAAGAGCAGAAAGTATTAATTTATAAAATCAGGTGATGAACCTGTTGGCCATAGTTTGCTGCTTTGATTTGATATTTTCAAAATATTCATCAAAGTATTACTTTAATAACTGAATTGTTGGACACTCCCTAAATTTTGCACCCAAGGCGAGCGTATCATTTGCTATACCCACATTCCAGCCCTGTGTTGTTCTGAAGATAGATTCATTGGTATTACTAGAAAACAAGTCATCACATGTGCAAAACCATAATTTTGGCTTGAAACTTGCTCAGACATTAGTAACCCCATCTGTTGCCATGTATGAAAATTTCACTCACTGTGGGGCTGGCACTGTCTGCCTCCGGGGGAGCCGGTAGGGTGATTTACCAGCAGACTTCATAACTAATGCGTAAGCAAGAAGTGGAATAAACCATGCATGGTGCTCACACCCTTCTCAGGTAGTGTTGCTAATATAGGAACCCATAAGCCATGGAGGACTCTGCAGAGCATTAGGATGATTTAAAAAATTATTTTCAAATAAAAAATGAAAAGGCAATAAATCTAAAGACCAAATCCCAAGTTTGCTGATACCCAACTTGACCCATCAATGAAACTCCTGAATAAAAGGTGGCATAGTGCATTCTGATTACCCAAATGAACCTCTCCCGCATAGGCTAACTCTTTGGATTTCTTCCCTTGGACTGTGTTTAGCAGTAAGGAAGAGTGGTTTGTAGCCCACTCAGCATGGACAATGTAGACATTCCTCACTGTAGACAGTTGTTCTATTCTGGAGGCTGTTGGGCAGCTCAGATTTTGACCCCAAAATGTTTGGACACATGTCCTGTGTGATTAGCACCACACATGCAATTGCAGAGATTACACAGAAATAACAGATATCTGCAACAAGTTTCCTCACAGTGTCGGAGACATTGTGAGACTTGTACTCACTACTGCCTGCTCAGTTCTTTTGGTAATACTAAGTATATCTTTGGTAATACTAGGTATAGTAGACTGCATAATGGCACTCCAAGACCTAGGACTCTAAGGGCTTAGTCTTTGAAACCTGTAAATGTTATCTTATTTGGACAAGGGTCCTTGCACATGTAATTCAGTTAAGGAATTTGAAATGGGGAAATAATCCCGGGTTATCTGTGTGTGCTGGAAATGCAATCACCTTCCATGCTAGAAGTGTGGCAGAGGAGATTTTTCCCACACAGAGGGGAAGACAAAAACTTGACAATGCTGGCCTTAAAGATTGGAGAGATAGGGCCGGAGATTTAGCTCAGTGGTTCCGCTGCCTGCCTCGAAAGCTCAAGGTCCCAAGTTCAATCCCCAGTACCAAAAAAAAAAAAAAAGATTGGAGAGATAAAGCTATAGCCAGACAGTGCAGGGAGCCACCAAAAACCAGGAGAGGCAAGGAACAGATTCTCTCCCTCAAGCCTGTGGAGGGAGTGTGGTCCTGCTGACATCTTGATTTCAGCAAGGGATTTTGATTTCAGACTTCTACCCTCAGGAACCACGAGAGATTAAGTTAACGTTCTTTTAAGCTCCCAAGTTTGTGGTCATTTGTTACAGCAGCCACAGGAAACTAAGGCACTAGGAGTCTAGATTCTTAAAATGGGACCATTTGCTTAAGGTTGAGAATGAGTTGGCCTGGTCCAGGGAGCATCTGTAATAACACAGGCTGTTTGTGAAGCACATGTGTGCTCGCCACTGTGCCTTATCTCCAAACCATACAGCCCTTTATAATTTATTCATTGTGTAACTGGATAATCATTAAGCACTTTATCTCTTTACTTCTGCTAGGTGTGGATATTCAAAGACATAGTAGAGTGATCAGAATTGAACAGAGATTCATTGAGCTTCTCCTGGGGTACTGTAGCAAGAAACCAGAGCCCTGTGATTTCCCCCGTCTGCTTCCAGTTGATTGTCAACTGCATGTCTTCTTCTGCATGTCTTTCAACTAATGCTTCTGTGTTGTTGTTGCTGTTAATGTTCTTCATTTCATGGTAGCTGAAAATTTGGAACTGGGTCTAGAAAAGCAGTATTAGGAGAAGTATTTGCTTCAGAGGTTTATTTTGTAGCCAGGTTGATTTTCTGTCTCTTTTCTGTGAAGGATTAAGTCAGAATTCCCAGTACCCTCCCTTGCTAAACATCAGTTACTTCTGGGGCCTCCCCAGAGCTCTCACAGTTTTTCCCTAGACCAGTGGTGTCTACGTGGAAGAAGTTCACAACTAGGTAGTCCATGTATGTAAAATGAATGATCTGGTGATTTTTAGTCTAATCTGATAATCTGGAAATTATTTGTTCATCAATATTAATTTCTCCACTCTAAGAAAGTTTTTATTTTTTTTTAGTCTCTTAATTACCGTCAGTCAGATCTTGCCTCTGTTTTGGGCCCTAGCTTTGCCTATGTATATCAAGTAGACTTTTTTTTATGGATAACACATTAAAAAAATGGAATTGGGACAAAGAGATGGCTGACATGCTGTATATAATGTGCAAAAGTTTGGAATCATTGTAAGTCTGGAGTAT